TCCCTTATAGGTTGGTTGACTCTAATGGGATATCTCCTTATGAACTCCTTAGAAACTGTACTTCACATAGAGACAAAGCTTGCTTCAAAATACTCAGTTCCTAAAACTTGACTCTCTAGGATCATCACACAGTTTAAAGCAAATTATCCAGCTGTCTACCTTGCAACATTTTTCTTTCTTTCCTTCATACCTTTCTCCATTCCTCTCTGTCACCCCTCTTTTTCCCTCCCCCTCTCTCTCTCTCTGTCTCTCTCTGTCTCTCTCTCTCTCTCTCTCTGTCTCTCTCTCTCTCTCTCTCTCTCTCTCTCTCTCTCTCTCTCTCTCTCTCTCTCTCTCTCGTGTGGATGTATACACATATATCTTCTCACAGAATGTAAAGAGTTTAGAGGAAATGCAACACTTAAATACTTATAATGAAAATGATACTATTTAACAAGGATATTAACAAATGCTGTAGGCCAGTGATAATCACCTGTAACACCAAATAAAAACTACATGTCGATTATATTTTCATTGCATCTAATCCTCACAGTCGCCCTCAAATAAAATACCATACTTAACTCCATTTTAAATACATAGATATTTAAGTTTCAATGGACTTGGTACTTGTCTGGGTAACAGAGATGTAATCCAGCAGACCTGAATATTGAAATCTTACTTGAAGCAATTACATATAAAAACTTCAAGGACCCCAAATTTAGAAGATTATGGATTGTGCAGAAGTGATTGGTGACCTAGTGACCTGCTGTCAAGAAAATTAGTTTCCTTCACTGTCTAAGGAAGCTTTTCCTCTCTTTTCTTCCACTTAACTTTTAGAGGATAGATATTATTGTATATTTGTGTATATGATACTAAAGAAAATTAAAGACAATAATTTCATTAGTTTATTTAATGAGTAGAATTCCCTAAGTTAGAACAATAGAAAATTATAAAAAAAATGTTTAACATATGTGATGCCCTTTCTTAATATTTATTTTCTATTCTGTCTGTTGCACATCCTTGAAAAGTATAAACAATTAACTTTGGGTATGCTTGAGAAAGTACTGAAGAACTAAGAAAGAAATTGTCCAAGGTTAACACCTAATATAGAAATGTTATGTAATAATAGATTCAAGCTCTTTAATGCACAGCCCTGACTGCACATCCCACAGTGATTAGCTCTTAATAAAGCTGCTTCAAGTTGTATCCATTCCTTGTTTCTCTGAAAAGTTAAACACAAATCAAATTCACATGCTTGTCTTTCCCTTGTATTTCTTTTATTTCTTTCCTTCAACTTTAAGTTTTCTGATCTACCCTTGAGCTTTTGAAAACATTAATGAGAAGTCAAACCAACAATGTGAAGTCACAAGGGCATCACCTTTCCAGGGCAATGCTGTTAAATGTGAGCATTGTTATACTCGATGTCTACAGTTCAATTTCTACACGAGTATGGATGTGTAAGTGCTTCTGCTAGTTAAATCATGAGGTTGCTCTTTTCTCTGACAGGACCTTAGCAAGTGGATTGGAACGCAGTTAACAAAAGGAAAGATGCAATTTCGTGTGACCTGAAGACTATAAGGTATCCACCATTCTATCTTATAAAGTCTACTTAGGGTAAATTTAGTTGCCTTTGCTCTGTGCTTATCCTAAAGGATTTTAACCTTTGGGGAAAATGGGAAAGAGCTCCACAACTCTTTTTTAATGAGTTGAAAAGACTGCATGGTCTCATTAAAGGAAGAGTTTGTCTGACTCTTGGATGACACACTTCTTTTTGTCTCAATAGCTAAGGAAGTTTATTCCTTGCACCTTATCATTGCTCAGAATACACAGCCCCAACTCCATAGGCCTGGAAAGACTATTGGTTACATTTTATATCTTCTTATACAGTATTCATTCCCTCTGGCTGTTGCAGCAAATTATCACACACTTTGCAGGCTAAAGTAATAGAACCTTATTCATTTCAGGATACGGAGGTTAAAAGTCCAAAATCAGTTTTATTGACCTAAAATCAGGGCGTCAGCAGTGTTGATTCCCTATAGTGTGTCTAGCGGAAGATATGCCCATCTTTTTCCATTTTCTAAAGGTTGTTGGCATCGTTTGGTTTGGGGCCAAAGCATTCAAAACCTTTTCTGCAAACCACCTTTCCCTCTGTCTCTCTGTCTCTGTCTCTGATGTATGTGTCCCCCCCCTCGCTCATATGTGTGTCCTTTTCTTTCTTTCTCCCTCCCTCTCTCTTTCAGTTGCTCCCATCATCAAATAAAGAAGCATATGATCACACTAAGATTTTCCAAATGAATCTGCCTAAAGAGCTACTTTATCCATATCTGTGATGTTCCTTTTACTATGTCATGTGGCAACCAGAGGTTCCTAATGTAGACATTTGGAGGAGATAGGTAATAGACAATAATACGCTAAACATTAAGCAGAGGAGAATTGGTGAAAGGAATGGCATTTTCAGCAGCAAAGTGAAACAGAGTTATAATAATGAGTCTCCAAAACTTACAGAGGACAGTGCCATATAAATAACAATGGTCTTTATTTGTGGGTTGGGGAAGCCTGCCGGTTTCAGACTCTGATATCTGCTCAGTGTCTTCCAAAGATGGAGACTGAGAGACAAAACTTTGTAAAGGGAACAATTCATGAAACAGTGAAAAGAATGAGGACAGGGAGAGCTTAGTGTATAAATATGACATTCTGAGGAGGAGAGAAAACCCAAAAGGCAATGGGAAGCTGAGTGAGCACTGCTGTGGGGAGCATTTCACCATTTGTGCTACCACATCCCAAGAAATCCAGACGCATCATAAAGTCCCAGGCTTTGAACACTTCTTGTGTCGCATGACAATCTATGTTGTATTTCTGAACTTCCTCTTTTATGAATAATATCAATTTAAAGTACTTTTTTAAAATTCAGTGCTAGGGTAGAGAAGGAACATGTTGTCTTTACAGCTCATTTTGTTCTTTTTGTCTCCCTTGAGCCTGTTACAAAGAAGCCTAAAGTGAGATACCAGTGTTCACTTCAGCCGCAAGTAGACGAAAATTAGAATGGTACACTGAAGATTAGCATGGCCCCTGCATGAAGATAACACACATATCTCATAAAGAACTCATTGTGTGTGTGTGTGTGTGTGTGTGTGTGTGTGTAAACAATTTTTAAAATGTCAGGCTGTGGTGGCACATGACGTTAATCCCAGCACTCGAGAGGCAGAGGCAGGTGGCTCCCTAAGAGTTTGAGTCCAGCCTGGTCTAGAGAACAAGTTCCAGGACAGGCGCCAAAGTTAAAAATAATGTGAAATGCTGAAAGGAGTGGACGAATGATAGAGAGATTGAGTGACGTTAGAACCTGAACGCTACAACACCAGGACTCATCCGCAGTGGAAATTTCAGCACCAATTGCCCTATGCATCTAATTCCTCCTATTTTCTTTCTGCTTGAAGGCTGAAATAATCTGCACGATATCCTAAAGGTTTCCACAGCCAACTGATGCGACTCTTCTCACATGAAAGCAGTTCTGGCAGGAAAAGCAGCATGTTGAAGGAGAGTTGTCCGCTGCTGTGTTCTGTAATAGACACCAGAGAAGCATTAATAGTGACTTGTAAAAATGTTTACAGAATGTCTCTAGGTTGACATCGAAGTGCAATTTTAAAAACCTACGGGAGAGGCATAAAATAGCGACAAATACATCCTGGGTACAAAAGAGGATGGTGTCTTTTGCCACCTGTCCCTGTCCTTGCTTACCTTCCCTGACGTCGGCACTGCTTTCAGACTGAATGTATCATTCTTACACATGTTGTGATTTTTTGCATGTTGTAATTTATTAATACACATGTTGCTCTTCTTAATTTAATGGAGTCTGTAAGTCTGAAGCATAGATTTTCATTTTTGAGGACAAACTGCCGGTTCCCAAGTTTAAATTAAAATCTTAAGAATTCCTGTAGTCTTACCTCAAAGGAGTAGAGCACACTATTTACTATGTGTAGTGCCTTGTAGCAGCGCCACAGATTATTCAAATGAAACCTTTCCACATGGCCATTACATTTTGTCACCACAGACCAAATATAACTTCGGTTCAGAGCTACACTAAAATCAATGTTCAAAAGAAGTAAAGGACAAGCAAATCCCATTTGCTGGAAAATGTTCTATATCTAATGGCAAAGAGGTTCTACAGCACGGGCAAAGGGCACATGTTGCATCATCTTAGTCAATTAAGAAACAACAATATTGGCAAACTGGATTTCTTTGATAGTGCATGGGGGTAGAACTGTTTAAGAAGGGGATTTCATGGCAGCTTCAGTTGCTTAGCAACCACTGACCCATGGCGACCACTTCGTTTTTAGTCTGGAATAATAGGTCACCAAATGTCACCAGGTTTACTGTGAGTCTCACATAAAAAAATTCTCCAAACACATCAGCAGAGATGTTGTCATCAGGGTCTGACCTAAGACATAACACATATTTGTGGAAAAACGTACATAACACATATTTGGGGAAAATGATTCACTTAATAGATAGACCTCTTCCTTTTCAAGCGACAGTGTTGAGACGGCCAAGCCATTCACCTTTGAAGAATGTGTGATCAGATCCTGAAGCATTTTTTTTCAGAGTCAAAGAGTAGAAAAATATAGGCCCTTGCTTTATTGAAACCTTGTTAACCCTTTAATAACTATGCTGTAGAATCCTGTAGAGACATGAACTCTTGTTAATCTCCAACTGGCATATGAGAGTTTCCTAGCAACACCGAAATCACTATTCACTAAAGCTATGGTCTACAGAAGTTGACCATTGGGCAATGGCCAGAGTAGTGATTACAGGTACTTTGAAGACTCAAAACAAACTTATTTTTGTATGAGCCTGAAGACACGAGCAGCTGTAGCTAAACAATGCAGTAATGAGATGCTCTGTGTTATTGTGCCAGACCGAGAGAAGGAAGAGTCTGGAGATGTCCCTAGCAGTCACCAGGGAAGATATAAAGAGTCCTCCAACTGCAGCCAGGCCATACCGACGCAACTGCTTCTTGCTTGTACTCAGTCTCCATGTCTCTTCTGGGCTATCCTGGACTTTGCAGAGCTACCTCCCATAGAAACCACTGCTACATCCCCGTGACACCTTCCATCACCATCTGCTCCGATGATGTAAACCCGGCCTTCAGACATTACGTACCCAGCAGCTGCCAAGGCAACCTCTGGCTTCTGGATCATTGCCAGGACTCCTACTGTGAAGCACCTTGCCGCGAAGCTCCCAGCCATGAGCCCAAGACTTGCTCTCCAGCTGGTGATCCCTCGGACTCCTGTGTGCCTTGCAATTCCCCATCTGCAAATCAAGTCGTGAGTGCCTGCGAAACTACCAACATCAGATCCAGACCCAGCTGCAGTCCCTGTACCGGGACCAAAGGGTATGTATCCAATTGTAGCACAGCTACTCGACTTGCATCTAAAGCCTGCCAAACTCCTCAAAATGGCTCCTGCTTCATAGGGCAATTTAATTCCTTCCCTACGAATCTCCAAACACTACGTCACTGTGGTCTGGGCAACAGTGGATATAGAAGCTATGGAAATTTTGGATTCATCACCAATGGCTTCTCCCCATCTTGTTACATTACCAATAGCTACCAACCCCCAAATAACCTAATGAGATATTGCCAGTATTCAAATTATGGGCCTTCAAGCTTCCCATCACGGGGCTACTTATGTAGAAACTTTCAGTCTCTGAGCTACATACACAGTGCATTTCCACCTTTGAGATATTTATGCAGCAATAGAAGACCTCTGAATTGCTACTGATCGACTTACAGCTTGCACGAGAGTTCTGGATAGGCTGACGAAGCAGATTCTACCCGGTTCTATGGTCTCTATTATTCTGCTAAATTGCTTTATTTATCTCTAGAAGGTTGTTGCACTGGCCTCAAGTGTAACCCTAGACTTGGTTAACCACTCCGTAGTTTGTCTTTGGTTAGTGCTCCCTGTATAAAAGTCTGATTATGATGGTAGTGTTAGCTTTAAAACTCACTAGAATGGATTTACTGAAGAGACTCCACATGAAGAACAATCATAAACTTTTTTACTCTGGTTGTCACCTGCCTGCCACTGTGGTGATCTTCTATCTTGGTTTGACGGTTGATTTCGACAGCTTTTTTTCCAATTGTTCTGCTTTTTTTGTTTATTTTGTTTTAACCGCCTGATAAGCATCTTGCCAGAAAAGGGAGAAATAAAATGGCCTTAAATATTCTGAAAGGAGCTATTTCATCCTTCCCCTCCTGACTGATTATAAGGATGAGCAAATATTAACAAATATAGCGACTAAAGAGAAAACCTCAGCAATCTACTTTTTCAAAGAAGACACAAAGCCCAGGGTTGATTGACAGTTGGCCTTTGGCCAGGACATTTGGAAGAAACCCTCAGAAGTGACTGAAATACAGAAAATATATGACAAAACAGAGAAAAAATGCTATTGCAGATTGTCTATGACTCCCAGAATTTATCTATGTTCTGTATTCTTCTGTAATCCTGCTCTGTTGAATTATGCCATTCTAATTCTAAAAAATGCCTTGATTCTTGATTCTTGATTAATAAACACTTTTCTATCTGGAAACCATGTCTTTCCTTATTGTTCATGACACATTCACTGATGTTTGGCCATTATTGAGCACAGTGTGCATTCAACTGCTGGTTTCTCGTTTTGGGGGGTTTTGTTTTGGTTTGCTTTCTTAGAATTGGTTTATAATCTAAGTTCAAATTGTAAAACAGGTTGATTATGAAATCCTGGTATTTTGTTTTTGTTTTGTTTTCTTTCTAAAACATTCAATTTATTCATTTTGTAATGTCTGTGTTTAAATTTTCAAATAAATAAATTTGGTAGGAATGTTTATAAATCAATTTAATAAAAAAGTACTTATTTCTATATATACTGCATATGACAATAAAATATAGGTACTATTGAGAAGCTCAGTAATTAAATATGGAATCTTTTGAAAAGTAGTTTTAGGCTTATAAACTTCAGAAAAAGAAAATAAAATTTTTAATTTAGGTGGTAAAAAATACTATAATCAATAGCCTAAGCGTTTCTTTAAGTAAATGCTGAAACATGCTTAAAGGGAGATGTTTTGTGGAGGTGAAGGCAACAGGAGACTGGAATGTTTCAACAGAACAAGAGTACTGACAGCCAGTGTTTTATGGCTAGGGGTAAAACTCTCAGGTAGAGTCCTTGCCTGGCCTGAAAGGCTTTGAATTTTACTTGTAGCACTTCAAAAATAGTTAACTGTGTGTAGTGAAGGCTTCAGAGTATTAATGTCTTGATTTTGCTTGAATATATTGGGAGATGACTTTCCTCATTCATGTGTGTGTCTTGAATTTTCAAAGAATTCTATCATAAGTTACAAAAATTTATTATCCTTAGGAACTAAACAATGACTATATAAGACTCACTTCGTTCTTTTAACACAGCATAGGTGTTCAAGTACTTGAAAACAGTTTTGTGTGCTTTAGCTGAGTGCTCCGTATCTTGACCAAATACGTATTCTTTCTCTGCAAATTCTGAAGGCAAACCTATTCTTTGAGACATTAAACATGATTCTTTGAGGTCATGAAGATTTAAGGGGACTGACTCTTCTGAAGAATGGTTCAGATGAAACAAACATAGTACTATCTCAACCATTTAACAACAGACAACTTTCAAAGGAGGGACAGATCATTTCTAACTGGAAAAATGGCAGAGCTCTTTCTGAAAGAACTGGCCTTGGAGTGATGTCTGAATATTTAAGGGACAGGGTTCTAAGGACTCAAGGATGAATAAAGGAAGGTGAAGTGGCAAACTGATGTGAACCCAAGTGGCACTGTGTTTGACTAGAGGAGGGGTGCAAAAATATATCACCAGTGTGGAAAACAGAGAGAAAATACAGGACATTAGAACAAAGATTGTGGATAAGAAAGGTTCTCTTAAATAAAAAACAAGCTAATTATACAAGATTTATAAATGTGACCTTGATAAAATTAAAAGTGCCTAATAATGGAACATATCATTTTAAAATGAGAAATAAAGGGTGGTGATGGAGCATGTGAGAACACTGTGCTTACCACCTAAGTTTTCTGTAAACAGTAAGCCCAAAACAAATCTCTATTAATGAAGTGAAATAACTGAAAAAATAATACAAAGAAATCTGTAAGATAAAATCCATTGCATGTGCTCCACAAATTTACTTCCCTAACTATTTAATAGGTACATGGAAAACAAAAGCACAAATGTCTTGATGAGAAACAGGCAAATAATGTGAATAGATAATTAATAAAAAATACAAATTGCCTGTAAACTCTCTAGTATAGTAGACTTTATTAGTAATTTTTCATTATGAAAAGATGACATTCTTGCTAGCATCTCTTTGTCAAACATACATAAGTTGGTAATATGTTAACTTACAAATATCATTTCACAAACAGCAGGTAGGGGTGGAGATCAATAGAGCCTATGAGGGTGGAAGGGCTTCAAAGGCGCCAACTGAATGTTGATATGAGTGTTGATATACTCATCTTGAAGTGTCTCCTGGGAAAGTCTACTGCAGAGGACAAACCTATGCCTACATTGCTTATCGCTTTGTTATTCAGATTTTTTTAGTAGTACCACAGAGGGTGTTTTTGATTATATAGTCTATCCAGTCATAATGTAGGCTCTATTTTTTAATTACATGCAAAAAGCACAGTTGTTAACCTAAATTTTACTCAAGAATTCCAAATCTGAAATTCTCCCAAAAGCTACAGTGCTTTGACTTGGATCCTTCCAGTACAATGGTTTCCAATATTCATTGCTTTGTTTTCTGTAGACTTGCCTGCAGTCATCTGAAGTGCACAAATTCAAAATGCAAATTCCATAAAGAAACAACTGATGAGCTTTATGTTGATCAACAATATGAGTAATGAAATAAGCTGTCACTCTGTCCTACTTGGGATGTCAGTTTTCTCACTGTCTGACAAATCTGTGTGGTGCAGTGACCTTCTTGTTAGTCAGGGCCCACCTTGATTGCCAGACTGTCAGAGCACTGCAGGACTTAGCATCCCCGAAACACAAGAGCCAAGGAAGAATTTTCTTAGTGTATGTTCTTGGAGTTATATATTAATGATATCAATGATTTACAAATTAAATTTATTAATTTAATTTATGAATTAGATTTTGACATTAATACACAGCTGTAAGGAAATATATACTAAATACAGTATCTGGTGTTTCCTGAAGTTCCAGGAATCCCCTGGAAGTCCTGGAGTTTAAACCCATTGGTAAAGTAGGACTGTTGTATTCTTTCCAGCCCTCTGCAAGTCTCCAGACACTGCCAAGTAAGACAAAACTCCAATCTATTTCATTAAAAATTCATGTAAGAAGAAATAGATGAAAAATTAATCTATGAGAAATTATCAACTAAAGTATAATCTAGTCGTAACACATAAGCATTTTATAATTAAAAGTATTTTATAATTAAAAGTAGTGGTTTACAGCAGTATAAGTTATTATGGTAAAAGCTAAACTTCACAATAAAAATGAAGAGCAATAATAATGTATGTTCTGGCATATTTATACCACATAAATAAACATTCTCTCTATAATATATATTTCATCTAATTAATATAGTATAATATACAAACTAGAACCTACTAACATGCAACAAAAGTAAAGATTTGTCAGCCATGAGGAGAATTTCAAAAATAAGAGTTGAAGATTCAGAAAGGAAGAATGTCATAATTTAAAAACAATGGAAAATAGTATTGAGAAATAAAGTTGATTGCTCCCTCTGAATGGAGAGAACATGTAATCACTAGCACTCTATGCCATACTTTTAATGACAATATTAAATACCAAAGGGAAATAGGTTCTTGTTATCTACAGTGCAATGCCTTCTAGAAAATATCAATATGCAATAATTCATTGAGATTTGCCAAGGTGAATTTCATCTAAGCATAGAATACATTAAAAAATCATTTACTGTGCCTTTTTATAGCATGGTAAATACAAAATAATGGTATATGTCTTGTCTCTGCCCTGAGATGAGGGTTCAAAGGCAACTTGGTTAAATAGTGAGATTCTATATTAAATTAGAGAGTAAAAGTATACTTATGTCAAATATATTTTTTGAGAAATAGAGATCATAAATCTACAATAATTTTTTGAGGTAAGAATATTACTTTAAGTACAAAATTCTTCCTATCAAGGAATAATTCTGGTGCAAATAATAAATTTGTCAGAATTGCAAATTTGGATAGCAGACTATCATCTAGAATGTAACCACTGAGAATGGAAAGTTTATAACATGCTAATAAAGAGTCTGTTCTATCTTGTTACTATGTATCTTTGCCCGCTGGTTTTTAAGGGCTAGACATCTTTATTTCAACAAATTTCTCTCATGTTGGGTAACACAGGGGACCTCTGTCATGATTGGAAAGAATTGTGTGCAGTATGAATAACGTCAAGCATTTCTTGCCAACTGAAAGATGAGAAATATGAAAAGTGCTTCTTTGTTCACACATTGTAGGGCAAAGAGATCATATTTGATCTTGAGTATTAATTCTAAATCAACACGTTAATGCTTACACAAGTCAAACTGCCACTTAACACTTTTACAGAGTATGTGAGCTTTATGGACTGAGGGCTTCCTAAGAATTCAATCATGTAGTGTATGAACCACTGTAAACAGACAGAAAACTCAGTAAAGTTAACAGCTTTGGTTCTATAGGGGGTTTGATGAGAACAGTAGTTACTCAGTTAGTTGGGAAGCTAGAACCACAATCCCCATTCCTTTGGTTCCAGTCCACTATGTAGGATTTTTTCTACTGTTATGTTTCATTCATAAGATTATACTTTCCTGAACACTGATGGATTTTCTCAAACCCTGTATTTAGAACAGCTCCACAGAAGTGAACCAAATTTTATGACAGATACATGTGAGGATAATTGAGCACCTTTTATTCATAATGTACACATTGCCTAAACTCTAAACTAATAAATGTTATCCTACCCTGGGACCTCTTTGCTATGATGGGCCACATCTAACATTCAAAATTCTATCTCCTATAAACTCATTAATATATTTTGTGGATATTATCATGGTACTGCATTAGAGTAATGAGTATACTAACACTGTGTATAACAGAATGTGTCTGTGTGCTTATAGATATACACACACATGGGGGTGGCAACCCCTTTTATTCTATAATTGTGATTCTTAAGCCTATGTATGTATCTGGAAGGCCTAGTTATATTGCTCAGGAG